TAAAGAGAGTAAAGAAGAAGAGCTTGTTTAATGATTTTATAGAGGTTCAGTCCAACTAGTTGGAACCTAGTCCTCTACCTTGGATTCACTCACCAAGGATTTCCTCCACACTCTCCACTAACAAAATCAATGGTGGCTTAAAGGAGTCACTTAATCCTTTTACAAGAAGAATGGTGTTTCTCTCAAATCTCACCCCTTTACAAGATAAACCTCAAGAATCCTCTCTATAGATCACTCTTGAAGGATTAATCACACCCCTAAGATCACTCACAAATAGAACAAGAAGAGGATTACAAGTAAAGATCTCTCAAAGATCAAAACTCAAGTTAAAGCTTATGTAGGTAGGTAAAGATATTCAATGCAATGCTCTCTAAACTTGCTCCAGATCTTCTACCAGCCATATTTATAACCCTATGGTCGAAAATAGTTGTTACTAACCGTTGGGGTCATTTAATGCTCTGCAGGATGCATGGTTCGAGTTGCAGAACTGTCAGTACAGCTGGCTTAATCTTCTAGAGCCGGCTCTGTATAGCCGGCTTAACTTTTCTGCAGTCGACTCTGTGGGTTTCCTGCGTTCTGTTTTCTCCATAGAGCCAGCTTAAAAATTCTACAGTCGGTTTTGCGAGTTTCCTGTACATTCTGTTTTCTTACACAGCCGGCTGCAAAGTCTAAAGCCAGCTTTGGGATTCCAACTTTAAAAACATTAAATAATCTTCAAATCACTTGACTATTGTGCATTAAATGCACTCTCACAATTGGCTGCAAAGTTGGAGCCGACTTTGCATCTTTTCTTTGCATGTGCCAAACAATTGACTTTTAAGTTTTTACCTGTAGAGCCGGCTGTAGCTTTCAAAGCCAGCTCTCTGCACTTCCACAGTCGGCTCCAAGTTTCAACAGTCGGCTCCAAGTTTCAACAGTCGGCTCTCTGCACATTTTCAAGCCTTTTGGTCCATTTTTAGTGCAGTCCAAGTTTGCTTACTTTGCAATCTTTTGACATTTTAACTACACACTTAAATGAACCAATTAGTCACTCAAATGTGTTTTGTAATCATCAAAATCATAGGTACAACATATATATGAATATCCCCTAGAAGAGCAAGATCGAATTCGAAGAGCTTATCTTCTTATCAGTGCATATCAACCAAAACAAGATGAGTATAAAAAATCTAGGCCTATAGGCCATCAACGTCACTTTATGCCTTCATGGTTTACAATTAAAACATTTTCAAAATGGTTGGAATATTTTCCTGAGAAAGATGCAACTTTTTGTCTCTCTTGTTTTCTCTTCTACAACTTGGGAGGAAACTCTAGAGGTGGTGGTGGACATGATGCATTCATTGTGGGGGGATTTTCAAAATGAAAGAATGTAAGAGATAGGAAGAGATGTGCTTTTTTAAACCATGTAAGAAATGATCCCAACTCTTCTCATAAAATCAATGAAAGTGCTTGTCAAGATTTGATGAAGCAATCTCAACACATTGAACATTTGTTTCATAAGAAGACTACATAACAAGTTTTAGACAATTGGCTATGACTTCAAGCTTCAATTGATACAGTGAGATGGCTTGCAACTCAAGGTTGTGCTTTTAGAGGTCATGATGAAAGTAGCAATGTAAGCAATCGTGGGAATTTTCTTGAATTATTGAGGTTCTTGTTAGTTTATAATGAGAATGTTAGACTTGCCATGAAGAATGCTTCTCAAAATGCTTTGTATACTTCATCGAAAACTCAAAAGGCGATTTTACAAGTTTTGGTGGATAAAATGAGAGAAAGTATTCGCCAAGAGATAGGTGATGCTAAGTTTTGTATCATTGTTGAAGAAGCAAGAAATGAGTCAAAGAGAAAGCAAATGGCCTTGATTCTAGGATTTGTTGATAGAAAAGGCTTTTTGAGAAAGCACTTCTTTGGTGTGGTTCATGTGACAGATGCATCAACTAAAACCTTAAGAGATGTAATTGTTTTTTTGTTTCATCATTATGATCTTGACGTTCAAAACATTTGCGGTCAAGGATATAATGGTGCAAGTAATATAAGAGGTGAGTTTAATGGACTTCAAGCTTTGATGAGTAAAGAATTTCCTTATGCTTATTATATTTACTGTTTAACTCACTGTTTGCAATTAACTTTAGTTGCCTCATCAAAAGAGGTCCTTCTCGTGTATACTTTTTTTTCAAACTTGAGATGCATTATCAATGTTGTTGTAGCTTCTTCTAAGCACAACAATGAATTAAAATCTCTTTATGCTTTTGATATTACTCAATTGATAGAAAATAATGAGCTCGAAACTGGAAGAGGGCTTAATTAGATTGGCACTTTATAGTGACTTGGTGACACTCGTTGGAGTTCGTATTTGAAATCTATTTCAAGCATGCTAAAAATGTTTAGCGTAACTTCTACAATTCTCAATAAGTTGATTGAGGAAAGATTTACATCTTCTCAATATCGAGAAACATTTAAAGGTAATATAACATATTGAAATCTCTAGAATTTGTCTGAATTCTACAACTTAGAAGAAAATTTCAAACGTAACTAATATATGTTTCTTTTTTTATTTATAGGATATAATGCATTGATGTCTTTTGAGTCTGTTTTTATTTTACATCTTGTGAACGAAATCATGGAGATTACTGATATGCTTTGTCAAGCTTTGTAGCATAAATCTCAAGATATTTTGAATGCCTTGAATCTTGTTAAATCAACAAAGGCTCTTATTCATCCATTCAGAGAAAGTGGGTGGAATTCTTTACTTGAAAAGGTAAAATTATTTTGTAAGAATAACAACATAGATGTTCTTGACACGCTTGCTACATATGTAGCACAAGGAGGATGTGCTTGTCATCAACAAGATATTATTACTATTGAGCACTATTATCGAGTAGACATTTTCTATGTTGTAGTAGATTTTGAATTACAAGAATTGAATGATAGATTTAATGGAAATGCAATGAAACTATTGACTCTTAGTGGTGCATTGGATCTTAGAAATGGGTGCAAGAGTTTCAATATTGATAATATTTGTAGGTTTGTAGAAAAATACTATTCTCAAGATTTTTTAGAGGTTGAGAAACTTCATTTGAGAACAGAGTTTTGACATTATGAGATTGAAACAAGTTGTGATCAAAGTTTTCAGAATTTGTCAAGCATTTCTAAGCTATGCCAATGGCTTGCCGAGACAAGAAAACCAAAAATCTACAGTCTCATTTTCAAATTAATTACCTTGGTGTTTACTCTTCCAGTTTCTACAACAACAACAAAAAGAGTATTTTTTGCTATGAAAATTGTAAAAACAAGGCTTCACAACAAAATGGAAAATGAATTCCTTTCAAACTCTTTGATTATTTACATTGAAAAGGAAATTGTTCGAACATTTAGTGTAAACTCTATTATTGATAGATTTCATGACATAAAAACTTGTTGAGTATTATTTAATTTATGATATAAAAGCAAGTTTTTGAAATTATAATGTATTATTTTAAGACTTGAAAATTTGGCCCTTCTAGCCAAAATTCCTAGCTCTGCCCCTGCTTGCAAGGACAACCTTTGATGACAATGTGACCATTTTTTTGAATGATAACAACTTGGAGAGGATTTGTCTTCAAAGCACCAGAGTTAGCCTTGAATTCAAAAACATGCTACTAGTCCCACATGGTCAACCCATGGCTTTAACTTAAAAAAATGGAAAACAAAGAAAGTGAGTCGCATTTGATAATACTGTGGTGTTAACCAGAAAAGAATGAAAAATAAAGATAATGAGAGCATCTGGTACTTGTTTAAGATACGGTTTTTGTGTTAACAAGTAATTTGCTTCTACTTATCTTAGTTTTCTCCAACTTCTTAAATTCTTAATTGCAATTATAACATATGGTTTGGAGCATGTTAAATTCTTGAATTCTTAATAAATAAGCCGATTTCATGTGTTTTATGCACGCCATCAATCATTTGGTCCATAACTGGGATTGGAACCCCATGATTGACCAATTGGAAGATTTCCCGAGTCTCAGCCGCATCGCGGATTTGACTCACTATCTCCACTCGGCGGCTGGTTTCCATCTCCTTGAGGTCAATTAAAGGGACCTGGAATTGGACATCTTCGGAGGATGGTTTCGGTAATTGCTCCAGT